GTAAAAGTTTGGCGAGCTTCTTGATAGTGCAGTTCGTTAGCTTCGTTGGGGTCGAGCGCTTATTGTCGTTCCGCTTCTTGGAAGTAAGCAGAAGTAGGCGAAGTTGAGCAGCCGTTGCGTGTTTCCTTTTTAAATATTCCTTGCTTAAGAAAATACGGTCACGGCGCTTGTGTTCATCGAGGAGGCATCCTGGTTTGCGGTTTGAATCCATAGTGCGTAATAATCGCTTTAAATTGATCCCAGTTGATACTGAATATCTTCACACTGTAATAGCCTGGGTGGGCAGTTAAACGGTGCTTGACTCGGGGCGTCAAGTCCGAAGAAGCTGAAAAGTCAACAGGGACGTGATCACCGGAGCCGGGTCTTAAGCCAAAAACGTGACTTGTAGAGCGAATGAATTTATCATAGAAATCCACACTGGCTAGGCAATAGTCAATCCTATTCTTGAGCTTCGGACCTGTAAATCCCATAGTAGTGGGGATTTCAAGACGCCAAAAATCGAATAAACCCATGGTAATCATCAGTCGAAAAGTTCAGGTCTTCCATTGTCATGGTAATTAAGGCTCGGCTTGGCTTGGCGTGGCTTGGTCTAGTTCTGGGTCCATAGTAATGTTAAAGTCACCTAAGAGCAAGTGATAAGCAGAGTCGTCAAAATCGCGTGGTAAGGCGTTGTAAAACTTGGAGCGGTCGCTTGGGGAATCTGGACCATATACCACGTGAAAATAAATGTTCATTGCACCAAGTTGACCCGTCACGACCAAGTACCTACTATTAAGGATGGGTTCGGTGGCGTGCCGGCGTGAAATGTCTTAAAGGGCGTGCTCCGCTGAAAGCTAAGGCGACCCCATTGCGACTTTGATATTCATTTGTGTGCTGGTTAGACCAGTAAGCACAAGCGTTGGAGTCAGCCGCGTGGAGAAAGTAGTTATTACTTGATGATGAACCGGGGCTTGAAAGCTTGATTTTTTGAAGTGCAATTACTTGGTAGCGGGAGAAGATGTTTTGATATAGTTTTAGGCTTGGACGATTAAGTCCGTTCACTTACTTTTTCTGTGGTACAGACGCACTGAGTAAAGAATTATGAAAAATAAATATTAAGCGGAATTTTCAGCAAATATCTACAGCATTTGTCAAATTAAATTTTTCTATTTAATTTTGGACGGTCCATGAAGCGCAGTCAGACACCAATTACCGCTTTTTTTGAGCGCAAGCAAGCGCGCCGCATCAGCATCGATTCCATCGACACTGATAGCGACAATAATGAAGACACTCCTTTCTCCGCTTCTAATGCTCATCGGCCCAATCACGTCGAAAATTTGATTACAGAAAAACAAAAACAAGATGAAACTAATCCATACAATAGGAAGCACAATGCTACGACGCGTAGACGGACCCGCGAGGATCTATTGGGAATTTTGCAACGTCGTGAACTTGTGGGCTGCATCTTAAAGATACAAATAGGGAGTAAAAGTCAAGATCAACGGAGTAGGCGCAAGCAACAGCTAGTGCGGTGGGTACTCTCGCACTTTCAGAGACTGCCATTGGAACTGCAGTTGTCTCCACACTGGGAGCAGCATGCAGGCGCGATAAACACTGAGGATTTTTTCGCCAGTTGCCTTGAATTTGATAGTCAGGGAGTTTTGCTGGCAGCTGGTGCGTCGAATGGGATTATCGCTCTCTACGATTTTGACGAAGTTTATCACCGCAGTTTGAACCTTGGACAGAAATGGATAGAGAGCAACAAAATACAAATTGAAGATAAAGAAGAGAAGACCATGACGAATATTAAATTACATCCGGTAGTTTTTCCGTGGCTTTGTTATGATTTCGCTTGCTGACCGCAAATTGCAGATCCATACAATATATACGCCATTTGAAGTGAAGCGTATTCGCTGGAACCCAGTGGACGAGGTAACGTGCTTTGAGGCCAAGTAATTTAAAATGGTATTGAACGTTATCTTTTTAATTGCATGAAAGGACGAAATTGCGTGTTCCTTCACGAATCGCAACGAAATTTATGTTTTCAACTTGCGCAAGTTTCCGAGCAAACCTCACAAAGTTCTTAAGAGCTCGAATCAGCCTTCGAGTGGGTACAATGACTTTTTCTATTTTTCTACATCAGGAATAATTTCGTCGCAGAAAGAGCCTTCGAGAGAAAAGTCAAGCTTGAAATCTGTGAGCCTAATTGCTGGTGATACCAATGGAGCAGTTCGGATGTGGAACCTTCAAATTCCGTTACGACCAGTTTGGAGTTTCCTTGCAGGCTCGCTACCAATCAATGCTTTGGTGCTATCTGCCAATAAGCAATTTTTAATAATTGGTAATGAAGCTGGAATGCTCATGGTACGGCAAATTCTCTCGTTTCTAAGGCAGTATGACTCAAAGTGATGCTTTTGTATACCTTGCATTTTCTAACAGACGTACGACATTCAACGTAAAGTTGTACCGGCCTTCGGCTCCAAGCCTGTGCCGCAGCGAAAGGTAGCATTAAATGTTATGGAATTGATTAAACGTGAGCGAAAAACACACTGTCTGTTTCATGAAAGGCCTCTAAACGATTTTTTTTGCCAATCGCTTGCTGAAAATAGCGTATTTGTCGCCCGCATTAATTGAATTTGGTTTGCTCTCAAGCCGGTATGGGTCTCCTGGCATCATGTCGATGCGTCTAGTTCCACAATCAGAGACGCAAGTACTGTGTCAGCTGCGTAACGATTGGGTGGTTGTTATCGATTATCTTTGTGGGTTTATTGTAAAGTTGCATACATCAATTCGAGGTGTGTTGCGAGTGCTGTATTTATTAACAAGAATCTCACAGTTATTTGCTACTGAACAGGTCGAACGTTTAAGAAAGTTTTGACGACAAGATCCTCTCCATCCATGCTTTCGACACTTTCAACGAGTGAAAACCAAAGTGATACTCTGCCTGGGTCACGACGTAATTCGTGGCTTTCGTGTCATCGATGCGCGGGCGCGCTCCTTTTTGACAACTCAATCATGTGTTCGGGGAGTCACGATGCAACAAGTTTAGACATGATCGATTTGCGCCAGCTTTATCGTGTGGAGCCTACTACATCAACAATAAAAGAAAACGTCGATGAAGGAAATCCAGCAAAGCTCGGCAATTCTCAGCTTCAACCAGTTGAGCGACTCGATCGCTTTCGCATCTCCACAAACAATTTTATTACTGCTGTAGCTGCGCATCCGAATCAACACGTGGTAATATGTGGTGGGAAAAGTATGGAGTTACAGATCATAGGTGTTATGGGCCAACTCGAAGAAAAATATCTGCTCAAATAATAGTTGGTGTAAGGTTACCCAATTAATTGCTAAATGTCGATGTGAAAGTCCATATTATAAATACACTGTGCTCATATTATAAGCCAACATCAAAAACTACTTTTTCCAAAACAAGAAAATAAATAGGGCACACTGGATTGGGCAACACGCGACAAATATAAAAACTTCACTGGTAATACCGATTAGTTTAAATAAAAGCTTAAGTAATTTTATGTCATTTTATCCATCAGCAAGTAATAAAAACTAACATTAATTTCGTCGCAAATTCAGTGATGCTATTCATGCGCCGCAGCGACGTAAATTGAAAAAATAATGGTATTCTATTCAGGTTTTAGCTGCACGACTTGTTGCTCGTTGCCACCTGTGAACAATGCGCGATTGTAGACATCGAACAAACAATCTGAAAACAGATGTCAATCGTTGATGTAGTAAGGCTGCGTAACGTATGATAAATACTTATCGCGTCTCGTTTTCGTCCATCACCTCTTAATGCAGGGATACCTTTCGATGTCTTTTTCAGGTCATAAAGCTGGCTGGTTGTCACGTTGACGACACTGAGTTCAAGCAAGAGTTGAAAAATGAACGATGACCTCACATTTGATCATACGATCTAAAGCTTGACAGTTTCGATGTGATCGCATGATGGCAAGCTTTTCTGTCCTCACAAAGATTGCATTTAGATATGGTTCCGTTCCGGAAATTTCAGTGCCTGCAGAAAGTCTCTTGCAGTTTTCACAAAGCAGCGAATCGGTCTCGACGGCGGTTTGGTTGATGACCGGCTAATTCTTCGCGGTACCCTCCATAAAAAAAAAACGCAAGAAGTAGCGCTTCAGAAACTTTAGCAGCATTCTACTTCAAATGTGGTCAATAATTAGAAGTATATACCTTCCTGTTAGTATTCAGTAACCATAATATTGCTGAGGTTCGGATTTTTTCGCCCTCAACCGTCAAAATTTATGTGGTGGCAAAATAATTCGAGACGATGTTCATATCGTACTCGATCCATCATAGTGGACACATAGTTGCTGACACTTTATTATACATAGATTGCGCATTGATGATGATATACGTACGACGTGCAATTCAGACGGTCGCGCTGTTTAAAAAACTTTGGTAAGCAACGATTTTTTTACCTCTGCTATTGCTTCATCTATAGTTTAGAGCGAATTTACACCGCTTACTTCATCCTAAAGCCTACTATGGTTGCGCGAAACCTTACTTTCGTCTACTTTTCGTATAGGGTAGGATGGATGACTTCAGTCAAAATAGAACCCACGTTTGACCATAATAAATATTCTGGCCTCTATTTCTTACACCACTGCTCAGGGAGCCTGAGCGCTTCAAATTATATTTCCTTTTAAGCCTAGTCGCTCGAGAATCATAATGACGAATAGAATATACTTCTCGATAGATCTGAGATTATCTGCAGCATTGAAATGCTGTATATCCACGACTTCCACGATTCCTTTCAATTGTTGCAACAATTCGCAAGTTTACTGTCTTTGTTATCCCATCCCATTACCAAAGCTCAATAAAAATAGAATAGCGACCCTGCATCAGACAGTTAAAGCCTCGCAACTTGAAGATGTTGATGTGGAGTCGTCTCGAAAAGAAATAGAACGACATTCAAGTAGGTCGGCAAGGTTCTTATCGAACGTCTCGAAAGCTTCAACGCGTATTGTGAAGCCACTTCATACACTCATGTAATTTTGATATGCTTGCTCGCTCCAATACCTACCGTAACGATAACAATCTTGTTGGAGAGCCTTCCACTCCGCTACCCGTCCGAAGGATGGAGGGCAAATTGGATGTTTTGGATTCGTCAGGCAATAGCAGCGTTCATGACGACATTTGTAGGCACTTTCAATTTCGCGACATTTGTTCCGATCCTGACAGTGTCACCAATCAAGAGTTTGATCATTCCTTTTTCGCTCGCGGTAATGTACGTGACCACCATGGTGTTAGCCTCTAGCAAGATTGGGTTTCCAATTCCATTTACTCAACAACTTGGAAGCATAGTAATCGCAACCTACATTCCAGTAGTTTTCGTGCTTGCGTTTGGAAAGTCTGTGTTTACCAAGAAATCTAAGTGCCGGCCTTACCTTTTGCGATTTCAGCGAAACCAGTACGCTTACTTTGCTCTTATTA